CCACAGCCACATATCTCGACGATTGTTGTCTTGGTCCGTCCTCGAATTTTATTACAGCGTGCCATCGCCGTTCTAAGCCTTTGGAGTCAACTTCCAACAGAATCGGTATCACCGACACCATATGACCAACTGTCAGCTTCCACTTGTGTGATATACCCTTCTAGATTAATTCTATATAGTCCCACCACGACCTCTATCTGTGAGCTATCTACATTCATCAGTTTCCGTTTTATATCATTCGCTGCCGTCGAGGTTCCATCGTACGGCGACTTCTGCTGTAATACCATGGTGGACACTATGGCCAGGCCACCCGACTCGTGGGCCCAGGACCGTTATCCTCGACATGGTCCTTTCTACCCTCAAGAGCAAAGCCGCCATGAGCTACGTTTACCTCCACTACCTAGCCTAGTGACCGGACCACACGTGAATCAAGAACTTCTGAATAGACAGCAACCGGCAGCCTATGGGCATACCCAGTATGGGGAGCCCTATGCAGCCTCTCCGCCTATCCATCACAGTCCACGGCCACCAATGCCAGGCTCTGAGTTACACACGATGGCACCGAGTCCTTACGCTAGACGGCCAGTAGAAGCAAGCGTCAGCGCCCGCCCCGCCCACTCGCCGAGTATAGGTAGCCGGTCCGGAGGGACGCCGGAGCGTATTCAACTACGGCAACCGGGCGGCGAGCCGAGCCCCTTACAGGCTCACAGATTACCTTTACAATCAAGGTCAGCAGGGGAGTCGCCTCGACAGCGTCACTACGCAGAAATTCACGCAGTTAGATCTGCTTCAGAGTACCCACAACACGATCTTCGTCTTCAGCATTCTCCACGAACAGTAGATGCTCCACGACAGACGTGGCAACCTCAACCTGAATCTCGTGCCCCCGAGCGGATGAGGATATCGGAACTATTAAGCGACGACCCGAGAACCGGAGAGTCGGGCTCCTCTAAGGCACCAGAGCGTAGAAAAGCTCCCGCCGCCGCCCCTTCGACGTATAGGCTAAAGGTCCGCCAGCAACCGGTTGCTGCTAGGTCTTGTGGTTTTGGCGAGAGGGATCGCAGAGTTATTGATCCACCTCCAATAGTCCAGGTATCTATCGAAGACACTAAGGCCTCACAAGAGGAAATTCGTGCCCAACTCAAGTTCCGATTCTCGGTCATGCATTGTACGATATGGAACGAGACAGGCGACCAAGACTGCTCGGGTATGCCAGACGACTATCGACAGCAGCGAAGACTCATGGGGACGATAGTGTCATCACCCTTCGTCGGTTTTGACGAAAATAACCAAGAGGGATGCTTCTTCTGTTTCCCTGATTTATCCTGCCGGACTCCTGGCACCTTTCGGTTGAGATTTAGTCTAGTGGTTCTGGACCCAAATTCGGTACCCGGGTCAAGAACCCCAGTATGTGCCATCGCCATGAGCGACGTATTCACAGTTTATAACGCTAAGGATTTCCCGGGGATGCGAGCAAGCACGGCGCTAACGAAGAGGTTGAAGGAGCAAGGATGTCTTATTTCTATTAAAAAAGGAAACGAGAGGAGTCATGCACGCGACGATAGCGAAGAGGAAGAGGAAGAGGACGATGACGGTGGGAGCTCGGCACAACGACGAGTGAAGCGGACTAGAAAATCATGACATTCTCTAAGGGATTACCCTTTTTTTTGACGGATTTAAACTTTTAAGACAAGTTGCTTTACGACGGCAGCTTGCAATTTACGAATAAAAAACACAGTATAGTTGTCCATGGGCGCATTACTACCTCATGGGTTGGACATAACGGCTTGCACGGAAAATAACGAAGGGGCATATACGCGACATGCCGCATAGAAATGGACAAAAGGAACATATATGCTTACAACGGCGAACAACGATTGTGCTGGTATGGAAACGAAATAGGGTTAGAAGGGAAGCGATGGTTTATTTGACTTCTTGTATTCGAACGACTAAGTTTTGGACAGCGTCTCGGAATCGTTTATGGAATACGTTATGGAATACCCTAGATTCACCTCAGCCTCGATTTTGGACGACATTATGGAATTTACGATTGGAACATTTAGGGGAGGACGGTTAGAATTATTACCCATTTGCCACTTAGCCTTGTTGATCGATCGTATTTCGAAGCCGGTATATCTTTTTTGGCGCCATGCATTTTTAAAATATTTACTAGATACGTGACCGAATAAGCTGCCGTTGTTTCTCTACTGTTTCTCTTAACGAGGTAAGTTGGTTGAGCCGATTGTAACCTACCAATTTGCACGTAAAGGGGTAGAGATTTACTATCCCTTAACATGTACCTCCTAGACTTATATCTTTGTACAAGTAACGATATGAAGCATGATTTGATCAGCAAGTAAGATAAGATTAGATCCGTGATATTGATTTCAGTATCAATCGTTACTAGGTGTTCCATGGCTCATTCGATAAGAAATGATAAATTATGAATTGGGTACGTTAATAAAAGCCAATTGATATTCTGATATGTCCGATGGTCTTTTTATTTTTTTTATTTTTTTTGATAGAGGATGCCAAGAATTTCAAGGGTCTTTCCGTTTTCAGTTTAGATTAGCTCTCAACAAGCTTATTTTAGGCTCCGCAACGGAGGAATTAGTACTAATCACGGACTAGTGTCACTTGAGGCACAGTAGTCTAAGTCAGCTTCAACCCGCCGGGACTGCCCCAAGGAAAAAGTCGGGCGGAAAATCCCAACGTTGAATTTTTGAGTGACTTTCCGTCCGGAGCTCTCCATCTTCCAAAATTCCAATTCCCACCTTCTAGCAAACAAGACTCTTGCAAACAAGACTCTTAAGATCTAAAGCCAACGATAACGTACCTCGGGCTTTTACTTTAATCTTCTTCACCTCCAAGGTTCCCCCCTCCTCTTAGTCACGACAACGACCACAATGTTCTCGCGCGCTCTGCGAGTCCCGAGAGCCGCAGCGCCCTTAGCGCGTGTCCGAGCTGCCAGACCCGTCGCTATCGCACCTTTTCGTTCAGTCACCACCAACGCTGCCACCTCGCATGCTGACAAGAATGACGTTCCCGATGCCGACGACAAGCCCTTTCAAGTCACCTTAAGTGACGAGAGCTTCGAGACATATGAGCTCGACCCCCCTCCCTATACTCTCGACGTCACCAAGAAGGAGCTTAAGCAGATGTACTACGACATGGTCGTTGTCCGGTAAGCGTCACAATTGGCAAAAAAAAAAAAAAAAGCCTGCCGTTTTCGGCTGAGCTATGTTTACTAACAACCGCACAGACAGATGGAGATGGCTGCCGACCGATTGTACAAGGAGAAGAAGATCCGAGGTTTCTGCCATCTTTCCACAGGTCAAGAAGCTGTCGCCATCGGTATCGAACACGCATTGACCAAGGAGGACGATGTCATTACCGCCTACCGATGCCACGGCTTCGCCCTGATGCGCGGAGGTACCGTTAGATCTATTATTGGTGAGCTACTGGGCCGACGTGAGGGTATCGCCTACGGAAAGGGTGGTTCCATGCACATGTTCACTAAGGGCTTCTACGGCGGTAACGGTATCGTCGGTGCCCAGGTCCCCGTCGGTGCTGGCTTAGCTTTTGCGCACAAGTACAACAACACTAAGAAGGCTGCTGTTGTTTTGTACGGTGACGGTGCTAGCAACCAGGGTCAAGTTTTCGAGGCTTTCAACATGGCTAAGCTATGGAACCTGCCCGCTCTATTCGGCTGCGAGAGTATGTGCTCGATATAATGGTCGTTTGCCATAGCTAACATGTTTTAGACAACAAGTATGGTATGGGTACTGCTGCTGCTCGATCATCTGCTCTTACCGACTACTACAAGCGTGGCCAGTACATCCCCGGTCTTAAGGTAAACGGCATGGACGTCCTTGCAGTGAAGGCCGCTGTCAAGTACGGCAAGGAATGGACCGCTGCCGATAACGGCCCTCTGGTTCTTGAATACGTCACATACCGATACGGTGGTCACTCCATGTCTGACCCCGGCACTACGTACCGAACCCGTGAGGAGATCCAGCGCATGCGATCGACCAATGACCCCATCGCCGGCCTCAAGCAGAAGATTCTCGACTGGGCAGTCTGTACCGAGGATGAGCTGAAGACGATCGACAGGGAGGCCCGCAAACACGTCAACGACGAGGTCGCCATCGCCGAGGCCATGCCCGTCCCCGACACCACGCCGCAAATCCTGTACGAGGACATCTACGTCAAAGGAACGGAGCCCCAGTTCATGCGTGGCCGCATACCCGACGAGAACTTCTACTTCAACTCGTAAATGTCCAGCCGTTGGAGTATACATAGTAAGCGCCGGACGTGAATGAAGCATTAAAATATCCCCTTTTTTGCAAACATCCCTGTAGTGTAAAATATAGATGGGCAGGCTAGGCTGGGGGGGTTGGAGTAATGAATGAAGAAGTCAAATGTTTCGATTACGCCCCAAATGATCAACGTAGCTAGCTAGGTAGCTATCCATCCGCGTGGCTAGAACCTGATCTAGTCGAAGCACGCCTTGTTTGTGGCTCTGAGGGAAAATAGACGAGCGATGATACCATGTTCTTCTGCCGCGTGCTTTGTGTCTGGGTGATGGTCGTGACATAAGTGCAACAGTTGAGTTTTGTATATCAAGTTACCGTTGCATCTCTTGAAGCCTTACGAAATCATATCACACGTATTGCTATCATTATGACTCCTCGTTTACCTTATATAGGAAAGGAAACCCGTAGGTGTCAGCTCAATAGCATCAAAATAGACTTAATGGTTTGCCAAAGATGAATAATTTTAATATAGGTAGGTATCTATCTCCTATTCTCTTCTCCTTCTATATTTTATCCCCTCTTCCTATCCCCTTTTAGAAGATAGAACATGACATACATAGCATATGCTCACTCAGAACGCCGATAGAACTTTTCTTGACGAACCTAACACATCTGAGATCGTTTACCCCCCCTTTTTTATTTTCCGTTTTCCTATGCTCTCCCCGCCCCCCTTTTCCCACCTCCCTCTATTCCGTCCCACTCCAAACAAGACTATTATTTCATCAATACACCCAGACAGATGCACTTCCCCCCCTTACCGCATATTATCCCAACTCCCCCACCACCGACAACTCTGCGCCACAGCCGCAACACTAGCCAGCGCATCACGCACCCGACCCTCGGGATCCCGCAGCCGATGGCCCTCGAACTCGACGAAGAAGACGTACTGGAAGGGCTGCGCTAGGCTCGGCCGGCTGTTGATGCTGGTTAGGTTGAGGCGCGCGCGGCGGAAGCACTCGAGCACGTCGGCGAGGGCGCCGGGGGATCGGTGCGGGACGGTGAAGGACGCGAGGGATTTGCTTTGCGAGTAGATGTCGCCGTCTTGATGCGCATCTGTGTTTTGGTGTTGTCGTCGCCGCCGCTTGCCGAGGACTTCTTCGAGCGCCGGGATAGGCGCGGGAGAGGCGCCGCCGCCGCGCCGCACTACGAAAAACCGCGTCGTGTTGTCCTCGCGGTCCTCGATGTTGCGCGCCAGGATATCCAGGCCGAGCATCTGCGCCGCGGCAGCGCTTGAGATGGCCGCGCTTGTGCCGGTCGCATCTTCCCTGGCCAGGGTAGCGGCGCGGCTGGTCGAGCTAACGTCTACGGTCTCGACGCCCCGTAGGGTCTCGCGTAGGAACTTGGTGCACTGCCCGAAGGCCTGGGGGTGGCTGTACACGCGTCTGACGTGCGTTAGGTTTAGGGGGTGGCTGTGGTTGTAATGGCCGACTAGGCAGTGGTGCACGTCGAGGTAGATCTCGGCGCACACGGCTAGATCGGGATACTCGCCGGCGCGGTCGGCGAACTGGTCCAGGGTAAACACCACGGAGCCGTTGGACGAGTTCTCGAAGGGCACGACACCGCAGGCTGCGCGGCCGGATTGCGTTGTGTCGAAGATGTCTTTATTCCGGGGGGAGATATTACTTAGCCTTAAGATGTACGTATGAGGTAGTGATATAGTGATATAGTGATATATTACCTTTGATAGTCTCTACGGGAAGGAAGTTAAATTTGTCTGTGGGAAATGTATCTAGCGTAGCCTATGAGGTTAAAAGAAAGATGTTGGCGTTAGCTTTTGAGTAAAGAAAGTGCCGCCCCGAGCGAGAGGCCAGTTGATGAGAGTTGAGGTTCGTGCCGTACCTGGTGCGTATAAGATGAGACCGGACCTAGAAAGCACACAGTCGGCTTTGCATCCAGGTCATTTTCCTGCTGTTGTCCACCATTTGAATCCATCCCGATTATCTTAGATTCCGCCTCGTCTCGTCTCGTCTCGTAAGGTGCTATGAAATGGAAAAAAAGAAAGAAAAAAAACAGGATGAGAAGGACACAATGAAGAACCAGACAGGTCAGCCAGCTAGCTTATAACCCTAACCTAGAGAAAGAAATATCCTCGGTATCGTCCTCGGGTAGATGAATTATAATTCCGAATCTCTTTGTTATAGCCTCACTTAGGATCCATTACTTTGTAGATGAAAGGGAGGCCGAGTCGAGTAAAGGGCGTGCCGTCGAGTTCAAATGTAGATTTTTGACATGAACCCGATCTCCGGACGCCGATCGCAAGCAGAGCCCCGGTGCTACGGAGCCTAGTGCAATTAAACCCAGTGGAATTAACCCTAGCGGCATGAATTTAGCCCATGTAGGGCGGCTACAACCGGGTACATACCTAGGTAGGTGGCCAGCCCTAAAAAGATATATGCAGTACCTAGGTATTTACCTATTTCACCTTGACTTTTATATTATCGAAGCCATCACACATGTAAATATCTAACCTACATAATCTACTAATAACATCTTACTCGGGGCAGATACTTAGTTACTCTAATAGCAACCCTAAAAAGTTGGCCACGTTCAGAATCATGCGCATGTATCCTCAGGTTGGTAATGAGTGACTTGTATGTTGTATTGCACTACCTAACTAAACGAGTGTGATGAGTGGCTTGCCACTGCGAAATCGTTTCGCAAATACCGACTCTAAACGCAACGCAATATCCGGGAACAAACTGTCCAGGGTAACAAGAAACAAAATATACTAGTGTGTCAAACTTGCAGCGAGGCGAGCAGGCTTGTCGTATCGCACTCGACTGCTTAAAGGATGAAGCCCTATGATGTAGGCAGGTCCAACAATTCTGGACGTTTGATAGACCCCCGGGTATAGCATCTTTGCGATCCGCGTTAGTCACATGTCTCACTATGCTATAGCCGTGAAAGTCATACCTCCTTTCTATGCCATAAGTCAACTCAAGCCATCATCATAGAGCGAAGCGGGCTGGGTGTCGCCACCTGTCTGGCCGTGTGCTCCGAATTTGCGGGGCCAGATTTCGCCAAACGTCGCTGAGCGAACGAAGTTGCCTTTGGTTTTCGCGCTGGTCCGGAGACCGGCGCCGGGGCTGGCGCGGGGGGTTGCGGCAGCGGACGCTCCGGTGCTTTCACGATAGATGCCTGCTTAGATGGGACAGCTTGAGCTTGCCCCTCGTCGAGAACGAGGGATTCCTCAAACTATATACGCGGTCACGTTAGTGATTATACAGAAAAGATTTGTAGAGGCATTGCTGAGAGGACAGGATTTTGTTGACGATGTTTTTGTGATTTGATTAAAAAAAAACCTTGTCTTCATACCTGTCAATCGTCGTAGTAGTCATCATCGTCATCCACTTCGGCTAACTGCTCGAAGTTCACCTTGTAACGGAGAATACCACCAACACCACCGAATCCCTTCACGAACTGATTGCCTTCGGTCGACCTATCCGATACGAATTCTAGGTTGGTTCCGAAATCCTTGTAGTGCTCTGCAATCCACTCGAGGAATGAATCCTGGGAAACTACTTCCATCTCCTGTCCGGTTTCCTTGTCCATGAACTTGGATCGGTCGCCAGTCTCTTGCTGCTTGGTGGTGTGGAGAACAATCTCAGCATTGTTGCTATCCTTCAGGACCCATCGCGTAATTTCGAGATTTTCGAAGACAATCAAAGTCTCCACCGCGCCGAGCTCCAGCGCCTTGAGCGTGTCCTCAATACCATAGCAGACCTTGCCGGTATCCTGGCTGATCTCCTCAAAGTACTTGCCAATGAGCTTCTTCTCCTGGATAAACTTGACATTTCCTAGAGTCTCAGAAGACAGCTCGATAGCTTGGTTGAAGCCGTTCTCGCCACCGTACGACACGTCGACAACCTTAATAACCTTGCTCTGTAGCCGATTGTCGAACATGTCGGAGGCATTAAGATCGTTTTTGAAGTCGGCAGAACCAGCAAGGATGATACCAGCAACATTGACCTTGTCGTTCGTGATAAAATTCTGAACAGCCAACTCAGCAACTTTTCGGACGTAATTGTGTCGCTTCTCTTCTCTAAGACGAGCGAAACGAAGGGCAGACTGTCCACCACGACCGTGCTTCTTGGGAAGATCAACCGAGAATTTGTGAACGACGTCACGAGTGTTTCCGCTAAGAGTACCGAAAAGAGCACCATTACCATCCATGACAATGAAACCAAACTTCTGGTCGGATTCAAGCAGCTCAGCCAAAGCTTCGGTGTGGAATTTGTTGTCGCAGAGGTACAGGGAAGTGTTGATGGGCTTAAAGGGCTCAAAGTCGATGTTGACCTTTCGTTCCTTTCCTTCCGAAGTCAAGATTTCACCGCAGTAGACAACAAGACCGTTGGGAGGGACCTTGTTGTACAGCTTGAGTCGCTGTTGGGTAGAGGTGATGGCGGAAAGCACAGACTGTCGGTTGACACGGGACTTGATATTCGAGGCGGTTCCCTAGCATTAACGGTCAGCCTATTCTCCTGGGTTAAGTCGTGGTGGTGGCGGACGCGGGGTGCGACATACATATTCTTCAGCCAACATCTTTGCTGCGCGGGAAATCTGATCCTTGGGAGCTGTTCCTAGAGTTTAGTATTGTCTTCTATCCAAGTCAAAGTGGGGGAGGGGTAAATTACATACGGATGATTAGAGAAATCATGCTGGTGCCATTTCCTCGAGCGGCCTCAAGGCGCTTGATCAGCTTCTTGACTTTCCATATCTCAATCTGTGGGCGTCATTATTGTTAGATGCTATTCCTTAAGAGACATAAGAAGAGAACACCTTGAAGGCAAATCTGACGGGGCGGTGGAGATGCCGAAGGCTGAAGGAAACTAGGGAGTATTTAGTATTTATGACGATGTGCGCACTTACGTTCTTCTCAGCCTCGGTCGCCTGGGCGTCACTCATTTTGGCGTGAGGATAATGAGCGATCTAAGATACGGTCTTTCTTCAGTGGAGTGATGCTTGGGGGTGGTGAAAGATCGATCGTATCAGGTGCAGGAGAAAAAAAGGTTGGATGAAATTTTGTGGTCGAAGGAAACAAGGAAGCGCAGGCGGACCCTCGGGGTTTGCGAGGTACATACGTCAAAAATGCATTAAGTACATGAATATTTGGTAGGTACCGGTATTTCCTAAGCAAAAATGGATGCTTGCTTGTGCTGAAAACCTACGCTAAAGTGACAAGGCGGGGGCGGTTCAGTTACTTCAGTAGGTACCTCTTATTAAATCCCTTTCAAGCCACATTATGGCGTAGTTGCCTGGTTGCTCAAGAATAAACACTAACCATGCACGGTTAGAGTCTATAATAGCATAAGCTAAGTGGCGCTAATGAATTGAAATTTGACCGCCTTCGGACGGCTAGGCTGACTCTTGCCCGTGACTCCTAAAGCCCGCACTGACCTTTTTGACCGGTGAGTTGTAACCATGTTCACTCATCTCGAAAACAACACGTCAATCGACATTATTCGGCAGTTTCCAGGGTTGGCTATCAACAACCTTCTCTTGTTGTAACTGATGAGACACGATTTAATGCATAGGTATATGAGATCACAGATCCCACAGTATTGAGGAAATACTGTATCCGTTGGCCTTCCTCATACAAAAACATTGTGATGGCAGCCTCGGGGCTAAAGCTTTGACAGAAATGATCAGGAGGTCAACCTATCAAGAACTATCTTGATTGGGATTTGATGCGCTGAAAGTTGGCGTGCTAGGACGTGGATGTGATGATTGCCATGTGGGAATGACAATGGATGCGAGGGGGCCGTAGCAAAAGACAGTTGAGCGACCGCTCCTGGGCTATCGTCCACACCTCCACCATCACCTCGCGTAGGAACCTGCATCCATTATGATTCGTCCACATGTCGATAAATATCTACTTTTTGCTACAACTACTGGTTGACTTATACACCATATGTCAATTATGAAGTTTCATCTTTGGAAGCTTCTTGTTGTGTGAGCTCAACTGCTTACTCAATTTGGCTACCAACCCTACTATAGTTGTTGGTATGTCATCTATTAACTGTGCAGGCGCAGAAGAAGTCTAAAAAGTTGCGATTAAAGAAAAAACAAGACGGAAATGCTTTATAATGTTGAGCGGGTTGCAGGTTTGGAACTGCAATGGAACTTCAAGGCTCCCCTTGTACGGATGTCAATGTCACGAGAAAGAGGCAAGCCAATGACAAAGGATCTATGGGACGAGGTCTTGATCGGGAAAACAGCTATTCATATCGAATTGGCGTTGGGGGATATACTGAGATGGCCACTGCAACATGGATTACGTCACAGTTTGTTCAGCGGTCATTCTGCCCCTGGCTATCCGTGCAGCTAAGAAAATTGCCCTACTACCCTCGATGGAAGTGAGTTGGGGCAGTTTTTACTTGCTCACGATAGCTTCAATTCCGAGGTCTCGGTTGGAAATTCTGCCGGTTGCGGTCTTTGTTGCTCAAAACCGAGGTGGAGCCAAGCGGCTGGGCCAAACTCCCAAACTCACCGCAATGCAACGGCAAGACACGGAGCACAAAACAACAAACATGCGGACTATCGATACGATGCACGATTCAATCGAGGTAAGACGAAGTTAGATTATATGAGTCTAGCTTATATTTTCCAGATCTTACTTACTGTATTATATAGTAGTGTTCTTCACGTCTATTATTTTTTTGGAGCATGTTACATTCGGCCCATCTCGAGTCAATTGGGCATTCCGGTTGAGACCGAACAGTTTGTATGTACCGACCGACGGAACGATCAACACATCATATGAAATTGGTGTACAGTGGCCCGGGCAGCAGATTCAGCGAAGCTACCATCCTTGAGATGATACTACCTCGGATATAAATGTTGGTTGTTGGGTTTACCATATGGTACTAATAGTTGATGACTTACGGGGTAATAAGATTAGGAGCATTTTGGTTGACGAGAGATGTTGGGGTTTCTATGTGAATAATGTGGTGGATGAATATGATGACAAGAGACGGAGGTGGTGACGTTGGACCAGTGACAAAGGATTGGGCTTGGCTACGAAGGCGGCTTTGACCATGATCACGACCTACAGACTCGGGGGACAGATGACCTTATCGGCTTTGGATGAGAAGATATGAGAAGGGGAGGCTGGGGATACCTATGCGTATAAGCTTCACATACAAGATGTATGTACCTTGGATCCTTAGGTATTGTTAGGTAGGTTAGGAGGTAGCTGGCCTTTAGGTAGATAGCTGGTCTTAGGTAGCTGGTCCTATGTTTTGTAGCTTAACAAATGCCTAACCTATCAGATCTGGTCTTTCCTTCCCCTGGTTGATTTTGCGGCTCAAGCCTAATAAGGGTGCAATTTTAGCGTTTCCCAAATTCCCAAATTCCCAAATTTCGTGGGCTCCTTGACTTTCTCAAACCTCCACACTTTAATACATCCCACCTTTCCTTTGACCATCTACATCTACATCTACGACAATCGCGTCTTTGGAACGACGACAATACCGCACAACATGGCCGACGATGATTCTAGCGAACTCTCTTCTGTCTCTTCATTATCTTCTGCCCCCTCTGAGGATGATAGCGATATCGAGGTAAAGCGAGAAAAGGGCATACTGAAGTTCTTTCATAAGCTTCCCCCGGGTACCAAGCCTGCAGAGCCTAAGAAAGAGGCAACTCCTCCACCACGCAAGCGATCACCTTCGCCAGCTCACGAATATGTTCTAGCTGACAATCCAGACATTGCAGTATGTCATAAACTCCTTTGTCGCGCCAAAAACGCGAAATGTCGCGTCGTTTTTGCATTAGCTAACTACCTATTTAACTACCTCTAGTTCATTGTCATGTTCCGTTCCCGTTTTAACGAATCTCTTCCTAAATCCCTAGCCAACTTTGGCCCTCAAGAACTTGAGCGTGACGTATCCGAACCGGTTCCTGGCGAACGTGTTGAACATTTCCTCTGTGCTGTTCTTAGCCTTTTGTTGAACCGCAAGCAAGATGTCAAGTATGACGCAATACCCAACCTCGACCCTACCAAAAACCCCCTTCCACAGATGTAGATTCTAACACCTGTTACTAATAGGCCTGGACATTATAATCGAGCGCTGGAAGATGCTATTAGCTCACACAAGAACCAATGGGCGCGAGATTGGAAAGATGAGAATCCTCTGGCTGGTAGTAGGACCTTTGCTTCTATGGATCCTACCGAAAGAGTATGCATAACCCTTCCAGTGCAATCATTCTCTTTCTCACTATAGGATGCAACAATTGCTAACATAGTGGGTTATCTAGCTAACACTGCTACGAACTCTCGTAGTTTGGACCTTATCATCCTCGGAAGTCATCAAGGGTATTATCAACAAATCCTACAAGGGAAATCGACACGAAGACGACCTTAACCAACCTCTATCCGTGCAGCCTTGGGGATCCGATAGTGACAAGCGCCGTTATTATTTGATCGAAGGTCTAGATGATACACATTTCCGAGTCTATCGCGAGAGCAATCCACAGGGCTTTAACAGAACATGGTGGAGTGTAGCAGGTAGTATCGATGAACTCAAAGTTCTTGCAGAGAAGCTGCAGAAATCCGATGGCGGCCCGAAAGCCAAGAAATTGGCACATAAGATGTTGGCTGCTGTCCCCCGCTTCGAAGCCACTGAAGAAAAGCGCAAGCGCCGTGAGTACCGCCTCATGCGCAAGGAGCAATTCAAGCGCCCAGAGAACAACTACTCCATGTACGAAGGCCGAACTAGAGGCAAACGAATAAAGTATACCTATTCCGACGAGGAGGATTTCCTAACCGATTCCTCCGTGCGACGATCTTCGCGAAATACCCGCAACCCTACACCAGCAGAACCCGCTGGTCCCGTTACTACTGCCAGTGGTCGCCAAATCAAAGCCCCGTCGCGCATGACAGTAGACGCTTCAAATAATATCGTGACAACAAGCCCAACAAGCCAAGGCCACAACGAGGCCACTGCGTCAAAGGAGTCGTCAGTCGGTCCTACTGGTCGACCCAGAAGATCAGCTGCCGTCAACCATGGCACAAACGGTTGGGCGCCATCATCTAAGAAGTCAAAAGAATATAATTCCGACGATGATATGGAGGATTATGATGACGAGGAGGATACCGAACCAGAACTAGGCGACGATGAGCAAGATCATGTCCCCGATGACGACAGCGAAGAGGAAGATGACTTCAATGAGGACGAAGAGATGGTTGATGATGACTTAAGTGATCCTGATGGAAAGGACAGTATGATGGTCAAGCTTAAGCTTCCATCAAAGACGTCCGGCTCTACCGGATCAGCACTCAACTTGGATGAATACCGCTACAATGGGAAGAAGGAAAACTCCAAGGCTCCGACATCAGCAGTGGAGAAAGGTGCAGCCCAGAAAGATTCCACGCCGGAGGAGAAGAGCGAGGAGGTCATATCAGTAGCAACGACGAAAAAGCAGGCCACTCCAGATTCGGAGCCCTCTACCACCACGAAGAATGAGCAGCGGCAACGCCCTCCCTCAACTCCCGCACTAAACTCGCTTCAGTCGACCTCGTTAGCTTTTAGGGAAAGCCCGGATAAGGTCCAGCAAGCTCTACCTAAGCATGTCGACGTCGGTGCCGGGGAGTAAAACAACTTGACGAATATCTTGTCGGTTTTTTAGCCTCAAAGAGGCCTGGAGGGTAATAGCGCGCGTAATGTATTTCCTATTATTTGAGAGGAAATATCTGCGTATGACTTGCAAGTTGCAAGAGGGCTGCTGTGATCCTCGGGAAACAGCAGAAAATGTAGTCTGTGTCCTTTGCGGAGATATCAACCACAGCATAACATAGAGTGAAACTGAGGGCGAAAGTGAAAGCAAGGAACAGTAGAGTTGTTCTGCTGATATACAGACAGACATACAAGCAGGCAGGCATACATATGTATTTACACTGGCTAGGCTACTCGGGGACGATGTCGCAGTTACATCGATCTGATCAGACGTGTATCTGCGCCAGTTTCTATAGATGAGTACCATAGCTACAGATAGCGCCGCACCGTCGGCCATCGCTTATTCCCCCCTACGACGGCTTATATTCTTGTCTAGGTACCTAATTAATAAAATCGCATAGACATAATGTCACTTTGCGGTTTTCCCCAAGACCAAGACTCCAATGCTAGGTACCGTATTATGCTTGCTATTACTCCTGCTTCTTTCTTTACGTGCTCCAGCTCCGACCCCCGAGACACGTCCGTCCGTAGCACGCGTATAGACTAGGCATATCGCAGCGCTCGCGTCTAGCAAGCCCGAGACCGAAACCGGGGCCGAGGTCGAGGTCGAGGTCGAGACCGGGTTGTGAGCGTGAACTCGACTGCTGCCGCGCCATGATTATTCTCTCTCTTCTGTTGCATTTGTGGTCTGTATGTGTATGTATAGGTATATATATATATATATATATGAAGAAGCATATTCAAGCTCTTGCCTTCACCTTAGCGCCAGCTCCCGCCATCTTCCGTGGGGGCAGCGGCCAGTTATTAACGCCGTACCACCAGCGGCGCAGGCGCGCGCCCACCGAGGTCCCGCTGATCTGGGCGTTCTTATTCCAGTGGTGCCAGCCGTGCAGCGCCAGGTTATACAGGACGCCTTGGGCGAACGGCATCATCATCTACACATCGGCACACTCTCGGTTAGATCCATAGCCCTAGTCCCAAGGAAGGAGAAGAAAAAAAAAAAAAAAAAAGAACGGGCGCAAAATACCTGGTCCCGCACCGTAATCCACGCCACCTTCCACCACGTATCCGCCTTCGCGATGCTGTGCAGATAGCTCTGCTCGAAGCGCAGATCCGGCATGGGCGGGAGATTCCTAGATCGGGGGTGGGGCTTCAACACGCTGATTGGGATCTCGCTTTCGTCGTCGTCGTCGTCGTCGGCTTCCTCGTAGTCGTCTAGGTCCGAGTCGAGCGAGTGTCGTTCTCGCAGGTGCACGGGCTGCTTTTCCGATAGCGAGGACGAAGGGTTTAGGTCGTGCTGCGGCGACGGGTTTCGCTGGATATGTGCCGTCTGGATCGTCTCGGCGATCTGTGTTGGTATGTTTTCTGCCATGGTGTCTTGTGTCGGAGCGGCGAGCTGTTTGCTAGGTATGTTGTATGTAAGTAAATATTATGTATGAAGCTTGAAGGTGAGCTTGGTGGGTTGTAGTCCCTGTAAATGACGTTTCGATACAGGTGATACTACTCGTAAAATGCATATGTGGATATACGAGATATATCATAAATATATATATATATATATATGCAATAGACGGATACACCAAGACGGCGTTCACAGCGGTAACCATAGTCCATCTCATATATTATGTAGCTTTGCTTAGACAATCTTCCTTTATTCTTAATCTACCGATCTACCTAAGTCTATTCTTCATAGAACAGCCGACTCTATCCCACTTGCAGCAAGAAACGAATGTTAACCTATTTCTTACACCAAACCCCCAAGACAGGGGTCTAAGACATGCTGTATAGAAGTGTCTTCCAAACAAGCGCAGCTGGTCAAATCTAGCCAATGCCGTTTAGGGGACGAATCCCATTTTTGACGCTATAGTCATATCATAATCGTCCGTCAGCAACGATTCTTCCGAGCTTCCTAGCTTGTGCTTAGCAAGAGCCGATATCCCAGGCTCCCGTATGCCGTCATCCAGGGACGCCTTGTCGGTATCATACACGTAAGGCTGTTTGTATTCTTGCATTGTGTATATCTCCGGCTCTGTGGCTATGCTGGAGTCCGTCTGCGTAGTCACTGACTCTTTCATTTCTTCCTCTTCTTCGCTCGGTCCATCGATCGGCGACCCGGCGTACCAATTGTCTATTGCCTCCTGTATGTTAAAGATGATTGTTCCCGGAACAAGGCTCATTCCCTGTGGCAGTCTGAAGTTGGAGGGGAAAAGTTGGATAGCGCGAGCCTCGGGGGTAAAGGCTGCAAAGCTGGCGTAGTACGGCTTGAATCGGGCACACAAATCTTTGAGGGCAGTCTCGAGATCAGAATAGCGATTTCTTGGCCATGGCTTGCTGTTGTCGTTTTCGTCTGGGATAAAAACGTATACCCTGGACTCCAAACGCCGAATCCTTTCTCTGATCTCACAATCAGGGATCGGTTTGTATACTTGGCACCCTTGCTCTCGCATAGTTACTGAGGTCTCTAGTATGCGGTCAATCCGGTGCATGGGAACCTTCCAGTTCTTAGGTGTCCCGTTCAAATTGGCATTATTTTGCGCTGGACAATCTACAGGACCCTGATCGCTCGCGATAGTCGGAAGATCCTCTTGACCGACTCTTGGTCCTGCTATTCTCTCGGCGACTGCTAGATCAGGACGCTTAATTCGGACTGGAAAACGTTCTGGAATGGGAGAAGGTTGCCTAGCTATTGGCTCTTCCTGTCCTGTCGCAGCTTCGTCTGCTCCTGCGTTAGCTTCAAATTAAATGATAGCAGTGAAGCCATGTAATATCGGTGACCGTAGCTGTGATAGAGGACAGTGAAATGCAGAGTAAACATATAAAACCCCGATTTTGCAATAAATAGAAGACTTTCTTACCACTCGAGTTTGCCATATAAGGTCTATCAAGGTTATCAAATATACTCATATTGAAGGCCATGTTTGGTGATCGACCCCCAGTAATCTTTTCTCCTACTTCAAGGTTCGCAACCATCGTGTCTAGATCAGGAAGTCTAGGAACAGAATCTTGGCCGGATGATGTGCTGGATATATGACCCAAGCTATTGCGCCTTGGAATACCTTGAAAGTTGACCAACGTACCCGTATTTTCTGGACTGGTATGATATTCGGTTGATCCATCTTGTGATGGTCGAGAGCTTATAGAAGAGCGAATACCCCTGAGTGACGATGACACGGAGCTGATGCTCTTCCGTATGACGGATGGGCGGCGGCCCTGACCTTCACTGTCAGTAGAGGTATCCGAGGAAAACCGGTCTCTTAAAGACGATGAGAGGGAGTTGATGCCCTTTCGAATCAAGGATGGCTGTGGATCCTGGTTTTCCTCGCAGACTGCACTATGCTCTATATGCTGCCATGTTGGCAGAGCCTTTTTACGATCGAGACCCAGCACGAAACGCCGGCGTAGGGAGTATTGCTTGGCTTTCAATTTTTCTGCTATGACATGTCGATCCTTAGTTAGCGAGGGCAATTGAGGATCTGTCAAGTATCCCAAATCTTCCGTGTCTACTTCAGGGCGAGCCGTAGTGCGTTTGCGTAATTTTTCTCGAAGGCTAGCCATTATGTAGAATATAATCAGTAATCCCGAATAACAAATTGACTGGTTCCGAGAAAAGTGAAGTGGGATGGAAGCAGGAAGTAAGGATAGAAACTAGTGGTCTAAATATTGCTTGATGGTTTTGGCTGTCCAAGAATGTATAGAGACATACTAAAGCGGACAGCAATGAGAAATAGAGAAGGGGAAAAGCGGACCTGTAAGTCTCGTTGGATAAACACATCTAGAAGGTTTCGAACAGCCCATTGGTAGTAATATGCTCCTTCTCCCGTATAAGCACCTACTCCTCCTATATGCCCCCCCCCCTGCAGGTGCGGACGTAAGAGGTACGGGCGACTGCGATATTAACTGCTCGAATATTTCTATTACGGTAATCTACATCTACATCGAACAAGGGGCGAGTTATAGTTGCCCTTATTAATTTGTTTATACAAGAGCATTTAAATGATAGGATATATCTCAGGTGAATATGTTCTATATAAAGGGGTATTTTAGCCTTATAGTCCGTAAATATACGGTTGTAATATTTATACATAGAATCCGGGCGAAGGGTACAGATAACTGTCAGCCCCGAGTAGCAGCGGCTTTCCCGTACTCACATCCTCAAACTTTTATTGGTCTACTCTGAGGATACTTCCAGGGTGTACGTTTATGATCATCACCATCATCACCGTCTTCACCGTCTTCGTCCTCTTCCTTAGTATCCTCGTCTTGGCGGAATTCAGGAAACATTTCCTTCATCTCCTCGAAATGGCGGACAACAACCCTATTCAGACTATTTCGTCTCGCTTCAATTTCTTTCTGCTCGCCTGGCCGTAGCACATTGCTCGATATGACCCTATCGCTAGCAGCGATCATCTTTCGTGCCAGGGCCACAAGCTCCCGTTTCATGTTTGATTCCGGTCCGTCCTCATCATACTGCCTTGCAATGATCATATACGGTTTCCAGAGGTTCTCGAGAGCTGTAGCGAGCTGCCTGCTCCATGCCCTCGTTGCAGCATCGATATTATTTTTGTACTGATCGAAAACCCACCGCTTGCAGGCATAAGCTACACGGAGATAGTTGCGCAAAGTTATCGGATCTGGAATTTTAAGCTTGGATAGCATAATTTTTAACACCTCGGTGGCGTTGTCAAAGGCGGCGCCGTTCAAATTGTCTCGTAGACAAGTGTTCATAGCTGTACGGAAGTTCTTAGAAAGCACCAACTCAGCAGGCATATCCCACAGACACATAACAGTTTGGCCACTGTTCTTCCCGCGGCGTAGGGCCGTGAGCATGCGATGCCAGTTGTTGGCATCGGGTACAACATGATGCTTCTTAGTGAAGATATCCCAATATGGCTGCGCTCTTGACGTCTTCCCGGTCTTCTCGAGGGCGGCAAGAATCAAAGAAAGAGAGTTTTTCCCCGGAAGTGCGTGGCTAACTGCAGGGGCGCCGGGGGCCTTGATTTTGCGGTTGTCAACCGAGGTAGCTGGCTTCGCGTCTATATCATTTCCGCTACGACCCGACCCTTTCTTAGATTCCCCACGGATCGCGGCTATATCCTCCTTTGGGATCATCATTGTTTGCTCGAGTAGAGCTTCTATAGATTCGGCATCGTGATAGGTGCCCATTAATAGAATCCATCCCATCGCGCAGACTAATTCTTCATCGATAATAATGGAACCAGCCCTCCACTTCGATATAACTTCTTCCCATATGGCTCTGGATCGCTGAATTGTTTGCGCCTTTGCTTTTGTAATCTCGGGGGTATCGACGTCCACGACAAGACCGTACTGGCGCCTATCAACCTTGCGCCGCAAGGCATTCAAGATGATTGTATATGTCAGGTTGTTTGGTGCTCTAATGCCTTGGTTGGCGGTTTGAACGATAGTGAATAACGACTCGATATCTTCGGCATTTGCACAGACTTTAAGAACAGCGTTCAAATGGATTGTGTTGGGTGTTATGCGGTTGTTAGTTAGCATGTTGTTGTAGATTCTAATGGCCTCCGATACGGCTAGTTTTGGATGGGGTGAGACGGCGCATCCTTTGAAGATAATTGTATATGTTTGAGCGTTTGGGGGTTGGCCAATCTTCTTCATCTCATTGTACAACTTGATTCCGGCATGAAGTTTACCTCGTTGCAATACATAATCGATCAAGTGATTCCAACTGACCGTCACTACCGTGTTCCTGCTAGCTTTTTTCGTGATCAGCATAGCATCATCAAAATTGCCTCTTGACAGCGTCTTCCTGACATAATCTTGAATGTGTAGCGGATCTTTTAGATACTGCAACTGTTTTTGGGCGGCCCATTCTCGTGGAGAGATGGGTTGTTTCCTCTTTTTATCGTCCTGGTATTCATCTTGCTGAGAAACCTTGGCCGGCGCAGTAGTTGTCGTATATTTTCTATGTCGGCGGGATAAAGCGGGTGTGTATATCGGTCGTACTGTCGCAAGGGTATTTTGCAGGCGAAACGTATGATTGATTAATGTAGAGAAATCTTTTCTCGTACATGATTTGCAAGTAAACATAATTGTTCGCTTTGCAGGTGCCGCGAAGGCACTTTTGTGAGAAGAGCCGGCGTCTTAATGGACTTTGGACTTGAACATGGAAGGTGATGGTATGCGAAAAACAATTAGATGCGGGTTGCTATCCTTATCGATAATTAGGTTAAATTCGAAACTTCGAAACTGCCAAAGAGGTGGACTGTGACGTTCATGGCGGATCCTTCCGATACGAAAATACCCAAGGTACCCCGCTAGAGGTAATCCGTACCTGTATAGGTACATGTATGTACCTAGGAAGCGAGGGGTTCATAGGTACCTCATTAGGTAATGCACCTACACTAAGGTCCAGCCACTCTGAGCATTTGTAAGTGAGCCTAACAAGGATTCGCGAAAACGCGTTGTGTAAAATAAATGGTGGCTCGCGCGTCGCGTCTCTCCCTAAAGTGGAAAGATCCCTTAAAATTAGGTACATACAGTTAATTGATACCAATTGATCCCGTTGATTTACTCCGTACCTCCACATTTAACACACATTTACACACAATACGTACAAACACCGCCTCTACATTTCTTCCTCTTGCAATCTGGACATGATTTATTCTTTGTAGCATATATCATATATCGAAATGTCCAAGTCACTCAACAAGCGTAGCAAGCTTGCCGAGCTAAAAGCTCTGCGCGCTGCTGGTAAGAAGGCTTACGACTCTTACGAGGTACAAGAAGATCAAGATCTATACGAGGAAGTCGACGAAAATCAGTACAAAAAGATTGTTCGCGACCGTCTGAACCAAGATGACTTCGTCGTCGACGATAATGGCGAAGGTTACGCTGACGATGGAAGAGAGGAATGGGACCGAGTACGTACATATGAATCTGAGAGCGAGGACGACACATTACTTGGAGGGAAGCCTCGCAAGTCAGGTATTAGAGAACCATATTATCTATATTATTTACACATGCTTATATACTTACACCATGCTAGATAAGAAGAAGCGTGACGAGGAAAAGGCAAAACGGGACGCCAATGACCGCGACATCAGCGAATATTTCATGAAGGGCCAAACTACTACCCAACAAAAACCAAAGGTATAACCCGATCTTAAGTTTGGTTGCAATCGTACAGAGCTGATTTTAGTTAGGTCGTGAAAACCGAAGACGATGAAAGGTTCCTAGCGGACCTGTTAGGCGAGGTTGATGCAAACGTACCTGCTCCAGTATCGCGGGCTCCGAAGCGACATCGATCTCCCGAACGACGCCGAGCTCGTGTTCTATCGCCCGTCCGGGGAAATAGACAACCAGCTACCAAGAAGGCGAGACTAAGCGAGGAACGCTCATCGCCCGCGCCTCCGATACAAGAGGTTTCTATTGATGAGGATGCATTCCTCCCAGCTATGGACGATGACGATTTCCTGCCACCAGCGGCTGACGTACTTATGAGCGACTCTGCTCCTATTCCTTCCTCTCCCACTGCAAAGATTGCCGCGCGAAAGGCTCAAGTCAAGGTCGAGCCCGTGGAAGAAGAAGACGAAGATATGATGGAGGTCTCTCATGCCGGGACAATAAACACTGCTAGCGTAAACTTGTCTGCATCTCGACCTATCAAAAAGCTGGCCAAACCTGAACCGTACCCTACCCCTGCCAGCTCGTCTCCAACGAAAACTGCCGAAGCCGATATTGATTCATCATCGTGGAACGATGTCACAAATAAGCTGAATGTCGTCAGCAGCTCTCCTGCTGAAACCCGAAGCATCGGCAAGATTGATTATAAAGATGCTATCGAGGAGGATGGTAGTCTCAATATGTTCTGGACCGACTATACGGAAGTCAATGGCTCGCTCTGCTTATTCGGAAAAGTCTTGAACAAGAAAACGAATACTTATGTGAGCTGCTTTACCAAGGTTGACAATATTTTGAGGAAATTGTACTTTCTACCACGCCAATTTCGCCAAAAGAACGGACAGGATACAAGCGAAGAAATAGAAATGACGGATGTTTACTCGGAAGTAGACGAAATCATGACTAAGATGAAAGTCGATATGCATAAGATAAAGCCCTCTGTTAGGAAATATGCTTTCGAGCTCCCCGGCATCCCGAGGGAAGGACAGTACCTAAAGTTATTATATCCTTACACGAGTAAGTTTATTTGACGTATCGTTTCTATGGGAATATACACTAATGTCGACTAGAGCCGCAAATCAACCCTGAGATGGCCGGTGAGACCTTCTCGCATGTTTTTGGTACCAATACCGCATTGTTTGAGCAGTTTGTGTTGTGGAAGAACATTATGGGGCCATGTTGGCTCAAGATAAAAGATGCCAACTTCGGTGCTATCAAGAACGCCTCTCATGCCAAACTTGAGGTCCTTGTCAATGATCCTGATACGATCGCCCCCATGAGCGATTCCGATAACCTGGACGCACCTCCTTTGACTCTCATGAGTATTGTTATGCGGACTGTTTTCAACGCCAAAGACAACAAACAGGAGATACTTGCGATAAGCGCTCGTATCTATGAGAATGTCTTGCTCAGTGATACTACACCTGCAGAAAAGCTCCCTTCAAGGACGTTCACGTTGATGAGGCCGAGCGGATCAGCATTCCCCCCTGGCTTCGACAAACTGGCGATGGGTAGGAAAAAAACACTCGTCAAGCTAGTGAAACAGGAGTCCGAGATCCTGT